GGGCGGCGGGGGCGGCGGGGGCGCCCGCACGTGCGGCAGCTCCACCAGGGTGGGTCTCTCGTAGCGCTTGGCCAGCGTCGGTCTCTTGCTGGGGAACGTCTTGAGCACGCTGTAGGGGCTGCGCTGCTTGTAGATTTTGGGGACGCTGGGCCCCTCCTCCGCCGGCTGCATCTCCTCCTCCATCCGGCGCCTCGGGGCCAGTCTCCCGGGGCACGTCCTCTCCTCGCTGGGCGCCGGGCTCCGAGGGTGCCTCAGCCGCCTGCCCGCCGGCTTGGTCCCCGTGCGCGCCTGTGGGAGGGTGTGTGTCTGTGCCTTGGCCGCCGCCACCGCCGCCTGTCGCTAAGGCTGGCATCTCCGAGCCCCCGCGCGGGGGGCTGCCGCCCGAGCACTGATTGACAGGCCGCCTCGCCAATGCCTGGAGGGAGAAAGGAGGTAAAGAGCAAGTGTTTAGGGTAATATCTGCTAATGATAATGGGGGCGGGGGCGGGGCCTGGCGCCACCACCGCCCGCGGGGTCGGCCCGCCGGGTCTATGCCTCCGGCGGGGGGGAGGGACGAAGAGAGCTAGGCCCTGGAGGGCGCTCTGGTAACAGGTGAAAAAGGTGGGGATCCGGCTTCTGGCCAGGGCAAGTATTTGGAGCCCCAAATGTGGACTGGAGGCTTCTGCTGCAGGTGGGGGCCAGCTTCAGAGACGAGCTCCTGGGAGTCCCCCCCTCCCTGCAGGACCCCAAACTCCCAGTGTTGCACAGAGGAGTGGTAGGAGTTGAGACAGGGTCGCTAGAGTGCACGCATTACAAGTTTTTCTACCAATGGGGAATTGCTTCCCCAACCCTCTAAAAAGAACCTCTTGAACCTGAGGGTGTTTGTGTGACCCTGGGGTTTGGCTCTGAGCTTGTGGCCTGTGAGGTCATGCTGAACATAAACGCCCACAGGACTTGGAACTTCTACATTATTTCATCTGTTCCCCACAGGAGCCCCCAGGAACTGCTTGACACCATCATTACCCACTGTTGTACAGATGAGAAAACAGGCTTTGTGAGGTGGAAGGGAATTATTCCAACACTCAGGAGTATGGCTGGGTTGCGCTGATGCATCCAGGTCATTTCATTTCATGTCCTCACTTCCCATAGCAGCTGGGCTCAGTGCAGTTGAGAGGGGAATATGACCTGGCCACCTCCATTTAGAATGGCGGTTCCTTTTTTTTGGCCAGGGCTGGGTTTGAACCCACCACCTCCAGCATATGGAGCCAGCGTCCTACTCTTTTGAGCCACAGGCGCTGCTGATGGATGGTGATTTCTTTCAAAAATGCCTTTTTAGGCTCAACTGCTAAGGCGCCAGCCACATACACCTAAGGTGGCAGGTTCAAATCCAGCCTGGGCCCGCCAAAAGAACAACTATGATGGCTGCAACCAAAAAATAGCTGGGCACTGTGGCAGGCGCCGGTGGTCCCAGCTACTTGGGAGACAGAGGCAGGAGACTCGCTTGAGCCCAGGAGTTGGAGGTTGCTGTCAGCTTTGATGCCACGGTACTCTACCCAGGGGGATAGCTTGAGGCTCTGTCTCAAAAAAAAAAATGCTTTTTTATTTATTTATTTTTTCCAGTTTTTGGTCGGGGCTGGGTTTGAAACCACCACCTCCAGTATTTGGGGCTGGTGCCATACTCCTTTGAGCCACAGGTGCCACCCCCAAAATGCCTTTTTATGTACAGTAGAACCTCTGTAAATTGATCACCCAAGGGACTGTAACTGGTCAACATACAGAGGTGGTCAACACAAGGAACCAGGCCTACTCTACTGATATGTACATGTGGTGCATGTCTGGTCTATGAGTATTAGGTCAATTAAGGCAATGGTCAATGTAGGGTGGTGGTCAGCTATGGAGGGTCAACTGTATACATATTTGCATTTGCAGGACCAAGTTAACCTGAGACCTCTGCACTGCCCAATCCCTACTCACTGCAACTGGTGCCACCAGGCAAGGGTCTCTGGGAAGCAGAGCAGTTTCAGCAGTTGTTTGAATGAGAGAAGATCTCAGTGGTTTGGTTCAGGGTACAGATGTCCTGGCCTTTCCTAGACACTTTGTAGCAGAAGGTCTATTCCTGTTTATTTCAAATCGTGCCTCCTCTAAGCCAGTACCAATACCAGTATAGTGGTTTCCAGACTGGGTTTCTAGCCTCCATTCTTCATTCTCCTGGTCAGAGCTCTGGGAGATCATTGTTCTAGCAAACCCGTCTCTCTGAAGTTTGCTTCTTTTTCAGAGTTTCCCTTCTGGTCTTCAGGAAGTGAGCCTTCTTTTTTTTTTTTTTTTGGTTTTTTTTTTTTTTGTCCGGGGCTGGGTTTGAACCTGCCACCTCCGGCATGTGGGAGCAGCTCCCTACCCTTTTGAGCCATAGGCACTGCCCAGGAAGTGAGCCATTTTATTCTTCTGGGGGTTCAGGGTTTGGGCCTCTCCTTCTCAGATCTCCCTTTTTTGGACTCTTCCTCTGCTTCCTTTGCTGGTTCAGCTTCTGAGCTCCTCCATCCTAGATTGTCTCCCTCTCTCCTGCAGCCTCCTCAGATGGTGCTATGTCCCCCTCCCAGTCCATTTATTAGAGATGAAATAAATAATGCCATAAATAAAAGTATTTGGGAGTCCAGGAACTGTCAGGGCTGATTAGGGCATAGAGGACATTTTCTTTCTCATTATGCAAAAGCATTTCATGGGGAAATAAAAGAGGTTTCATTGTAACTCATGCATGTCATATTTCAAGGAATTCAAGATATTAATCATATTTAACATTATTTGCAACGTTTCTCCCTGGCTTCTGAAAACTGCTAAATGAGTACACGTGGATCACTAGGAAAAAGGGAGACAAGCACGAGAGGGACAGTTAAGAAATAATGAAATGCTGGAGAAAGACAGAGAGAGAGAATGAGATGCCAGGGAGATGTTTCTTAGGCACGTAAGTGAGAAATGGGGGAGCTACTTCTGAGACATGAGACAGCTGGAATTGAATGATATACTGGAGGAAATAAATGATAACAAAGCTCCCCACACTTTCCTTTCTATAAAGCAGTTCTGAATTTTGCATTGAAATGTTTCCCACCCACTTTACTCCCAGATAATTTACCAACAAGTCCTGGCTTTTGAAAAGAAATTGGGGTGATGGTGGTGTGGGAATTCTGGAGGGGAGAAATCCTTCAGTTCTTCTACTGAGGAAGTAATGCCCTGTACCTGGTGGCTTTCTTTTCTGCTTATGTATTTTTTATTTATACCATCCTCACCATTTAAACGCCTTAAGAAATGTCTTAAGAGGCCAGGAACAATACTTCTATTCTTTGTTGTTGTTATTGTTGTTGTTTTGAGACAGTCTCACTCTGTCACCCTGGGTAGAGTGCAGTGGCATCACAGCTCACAGCAACCTCAAACTCTT